AGTGACATTCCTAACTTGTTTATGAAGAAGACTTAATTAGAACATATCCCTTCTGTATGTAAATTAAATTCCTTTGGAAACTGAATTGGAGTTATGTGAATCAGCCGCTGAATTATTACCTCCTGCTGTGTATCTTAGAACAGCCTGTTGTGTTTTGAACCTCCTGCTGTGTCTTGAACCTCCTGCTGTGTCTTGAACCTCCTGCTGTGTCTTGAAACTCCTGCTGTGTCTTGAACCCCATTGTGTCTCTGAACCTCCTGCTGTGTCTTGAAACTCCTGTCTGTCTCTTGAACCTCCTGCTGTGTCTTGAACCTCCTGCTGTGTCTTGAACCTCCTGCTGTTTCTTGAACCTCCTGCTGTGTCTTGAACCTCCTGCTGAGTCTTGAACTCCTTACTGTGTCTCTTGAACCTCTTACTGTGTCTTGAACCTCCTGCTGTGTCTCTTGAACCCTGCTGTGTCTTGAACCTCCTGCTGTGTCTCTTGAACCTCCTGCTGTGTCTTGAACCTCCTGCTGTGTCTTGAACCTCCTGCTGTTTCTCTGAACCTCCTGCTGTGTCTTGAACCTCCTGCTGTGTCTTGAACATCCTGCTGTGTCTCTTGAACCTCCTGCTGTCTCTTGAACCTCCTGCTGTGTCTCTTGAACCTCATGTCTTGAACCTCCTGCTGTGTCTTGAACCTCCTGCTGTGTCTTGAACCTTCTGCTGTCTCTTGAACCTCCTGTGGTGTTCCTTGAACCTCCTGCTGTGTTCCTTGAACCTCCTGCTGTGTCTTGAACCTCCTGTTGTGTCTTGAACCTCCTGCTGTGTCTCTGAACCTCCTGCTGTGTCTCTTGAACCTCCTGCTGTGTCTTGAACCTCCTGCTGTGTCTCTTGAACTCCTGTGTCTCTTGAACCTCCTGCTGTGTCTTGAACCTCCTGCTGTGTCTTGAACCTCCTGCTGTGTCTTGAACCTCCTGCTGTGTCTTGAACCTCCTGCTGTGTCTTGAACCTCCTGGTGGCCTTGAACCCCTGCTGTGTCTTGAACCCTCCTGTGTCTCTGAACTCCTGCTGTCTTGAACTCCTGCTGTGTCTCTGAACCTCCTGCTGTGTCTCTTGAATCTCCTGCTGTGTCTCTTGAACCTCCTGCTGTGTCTTGAACCTCCTGCTGTGTCTTGAACCTCCTGCTGACTCTTGAACCTCCTGCTGTGTTGAACCTCCTGCTGTGTTTTGAACCTCCTGCTGTGTCTTGAACCTCCTGCTGTGTCTCTTGAACCTCCTGCTGTGTCTTGAACCTCCTGCTGTGTCTTGAACCTCCTGCTGTGTCTTGAACCTCCTGCTGTGTCTTGAACCTCCCTGCTGTGTCTGGAACCTCCTGCTGTGTCTTGAACCTCCTGCTGTGTCTTGAACCTCCTGCTGTGTCTCTTGAACCTCCTGCTGTGTCTTGAACCTCCTGCTGTGTCTTGAACCTCCTGCTGTGTCTTGAACCTCCTGCTGTGTCTTGAACCTGATGCTGTGTCTTGAACCTCCTGCTGTGTCTCTTGAACTCCTGCTGTGTCTTGAACCTCCTGCTGTGTCTTGAACCTCCTACTGTGTCTCTTGAACCTCCTGCTGTGTCTCTTGAACATCCTGCTGTGTCTCTTGAACCTCCTGCTCTTGAGCCTCCTGCTGTGTTTATCCTCCTGCTGTGTCTTGAACCTCCTGCTCCTTGAACCTCCTGTTGTGTCTCTGGAACCTCCTGCTGGTCCTTGAACCTCCTGCTTTTTCCTCCTGCTGTGTCTCTTGAACCCCTGCTGTGTTTATCCTCCTGCTGTGTCTCTTGAACCTCCTGCTGTCTTGAACCTCCTGCTGTGTCTTGAACTCTGCTGTGTCTCTTGAACCTCCTGCTGTGTCTCTTGAATCTTGCTGTGTCTCTTGAACCTCCTGCTGTGTCTTGAACCTCCTGCTGTGTCTTGAACCTGTTGTGCTCAGTCCTGCTGCTGTGTCTCTTGAACCTCCTGCTGTGTCTTGAACCTCCTGCTGTGTCTTGAACCTGCTGCTGTGTCTCTTGAACCTCCTGCTGTGTCTCTGAACCTCCTGCTGTGTCTGAACCTCCTGCTGTGTCTCTTGAACCTCCTGCTGGTTTATCCTCTGCTGTGTCTCTTGAACCTCCTGCTGTGTCTTGAACCTCTTGCTGTTTCTTGAACCTGATGCTGTCTCTTGAACCTACCTGTGTCTCTTGAACCTCCTGCTGTGTCTTGAGCCTCCTGCTGTGTCTTGAACCTGCTGTGTCTTGAACCTCCTGCTGTGTCTGATCCTCCTGTGTCTCTTGAACCTCTTGCTGGTCTCTTGAACCTCCTGCTTGTGTCTTGAACCTCCTCCTGTGTCTTGAACCTCCTGGTGTCTCTTGAACCTCCTGCTGTGTCTCTTGAACCTCCTGCTGTGTGTTTATCCTCCTGCTGGCTGAACCTCCTGCTGTGTCTCTTGAACCTCCTGCTGTGTCTTGAACCTCCTGCTGTGTCTCTTGAACCTCCTGCTGTGTCTTGAACCTCCTGCTGTGTCTCTTGAACCTCCTGCTGTGTCTCTGAACCTCCTGCTGTGTCTCTTGAACCTCCTGCTGTGTCTCTGAACCTCCTGCTGTGTGTTTATCCTCCTGCTGTGTCTCTTGAACCTCCTGCTGTGTCTCTTGAACCTCTTGCTGTTTCTTGAACCTGATGCTGTCTCTCTGAACCTCCTCCTGTGTCTCTTGAACCTCCTGCTGTGTTCTTGAGCCTCCTGCTGTGTCTTGAACCTGCTGCTTGTGTCTTGAACCTCCTGCTGTGTCTTGAACCTCCTGCTGTGTCTCTTGAACCTCTTGCTGTGTCTCTGAACCTCCTGCTGTGTCTCTTGAACCTCCTCCTATGTCTTGAACCTCCCTGTGTCTCTTGAACCTCCTGCTGTGTCTCTGAACCTCCTGCTGTGTGTTTAACCTCCTGCTGTGTGTTGAACCTCCTGCTGTGTCTCTTGAACCTCCTGCTGTGTCTTGAACCTCCTGCTGTGTCTCTTGAACCTGCTGCTGTGTCTTGAACCTCCTGCTGTGTCTTGAACCTCCTATGTGTCTCTTGAACCTCCTGCTGTGTCTTGAACCTCCTGCTGTGTCTCTTGACCTCCTGCTGTGTCTTGAACCTCCTGCTGTGTCTTGAACCTCCTGCTGTGTCTTGAACCTCCTGCTGTGTCTCTTGAACCTGATGCTGTGTCTCTTGAACCTCCTACTGTGTCTCTTGAACCTCCTGCTGTCTTGAACCTCCTGCTGTGTCTCTTGAACCTCCTGCTGTGTCTTGAACCTTCTTGCTGTGTCTTGAACCTCCTGCTGTGTCTCTTGAACCTCCTGCTGTGTCTCTTGAACCTCCGGCTGTGTCTTGAACCTCCTGCTGTGTCTCTTGAACCCGTCTTGAACTCCTGCTGTGTCTCTTGAACCTCCTGCTGGTCTTTGAACCTCCTGCTGTGTCTCTTGAACCTGATGCTGTGTCTCTTGAACCTGCTGCTGGTCTGAACCTGCTGCTGTGTCTTGAACCTCCTGCTGTGTCTCTTGAACCTCCTGCTGTGTCTTGAACCTCCTGCTGTGTCTCTTGAACCTCCTGCTGTGTCTTGAACCTCCTGCTGTGTCTCTGAACCTCCTGCTGTGTCTTGAACCTCCTGCTGTGTCTCTTGAACCTCATGCTGTGTCTCTTGAACCTCCTACTGTGTCTTGAACCTCCTGCTGTGTCTTGAACCTCCTGCTGTGTCTCTTGAACCTCCTGCTGTGTCTTGAACCTCCTGCTGTGTTCTGAACATCCTGCTGTGTCTCTTTGAACTCCTATTGTGTCTCTTGAACCTGTTGCTGTGTCTTGAACCTCCTGCTGTGGTGAGTTAGGTTAGGTTATTAATACGTCATGGGGGACTGCGTTAAGTCGCTTGTCACTACCATTCCTTTTATTTTAATTAAAGGAAAACATTTGCATAATCCCATGTAAGACTGTTCCATAGACTGGCTTAGGCTGATGAAAAGTCACATACTGATTTATCGTACTAGGGATTAACATCGTACTCAAGTGGTTTAAAAGATATACTCACTAGGCTAATTTATCGTACTCAGGGGATTAACATCGTACTCAAGTGGTTTAAAAGATATACTCACTAGGCTAATTTATCGTACTCAGGGGATTAACATCGTATTCAAGTGGTTTAAAAGATATACTCACTAGGCTAATTTATCGTACTCAGGGGATTAACATCGTACTCAAGTGGTTTAAAAGATATACTCACTAGGCTAATTTATCGTACTCAGGGGATTAACATCGTACTCAAGTGGTTTAAAATATACTTACTAGGCTAATTTATCGTACTCAGGGATTAAACATCGTACTCAAGTGATTTAAAAGATATACTCACTAGGCTAATTTATCGTACTCAGGGATTAACATCGTACTCAAGGGGTTAACATTTTCCTTACTACTAAACATTATACACATATTACTAAATTCCATCTCTAAACATCACAAACTATCAATACATTACTTACACACACACACACACGCACACACATAGTACATCTTAATTATCTTGAATGTGTCAATGTTTGCCACTCTCTTGCACTTCCGAGTCACCTAAACATTCACTATTAACTTCATATTAACTGAGAATGTTCATATATAAAGCTAAGTTGAACCTTAACTTGATCGCGGTAAATTGGTATAATAATTCCTAAGTTCTTCTCCATAATATTATAAGATATATATTTTTAGTTTAGTTTCACGTAAATTTTATGCTGTGTATATCCGTTTTCTGTTTATGCTCGTTTTATTTTTTAAGCTAATTAATTTATGGTCTATAGACTTGTTAATTTGATTTTTTTATTTAAATTTTACCCATATATTTATTAATGTTTTGATAATAGTCTTTATTTTTGTTTTAGCTTTTTTATATAAATGATGTTTATCGTTATTCTCTGTGCTTGCTTCTGTTGCTGGTCTGTCGATTATTAGGGTAATTTTTAATGTAACTGAAAATTGTGTCCAGACGAAGGAATGTTTGTTTACATACATTTCATCATCGACTATCATGTTGTCACAATACACTGCTCCTCGGGTGGCCATCAATACACTGCTCCTCGGGTGGCCATCAATACACTGCTCCTCGGGGTGGCCATCAATACACTGCTCCTCGGGTGGCATCAATACACTGCTCCTCGGGCCATCAATACACTGCTCCTCGGGTGGCCATCAATACACTGCTCCTCGGGTGGCCATCAATACACTGCTCCTCGGGTGGCCATCAATACACTGCTCCTCGGGTGGCCATCAATACACTGCTCCTCGGTGGCCATCAATACACTGCTCCTGGGTGGCCATCAATACCTGCTCCCTGGTGGCCATCAATACACTGCTCCTCGGGTGGCCATCTACACTGCTCCTCGGGTGCCATCCATCACACTGCTCCTCGGTGGCCATCAATACACTGCTCCTCGGTGGCCATCAATACACTGCTCCTCGGTGGCCATCAATACACTGCTCCTCGGTGGCCATCAATACACTGCTCCTCCGGTAGCCATCAATACACTGCTCCTCGGTGGCCATCAATACACTGCTCCTCGGTGGCCATCAATACCACTGCTCCTCGGGTGGCCATCAATACACCCTGCTCCTCGGGCCATCAATACACTGCTGCTCCTCGGGTGGCCATCAATACACTGCCTCTCCTCGGTGGCCATCAGCCCCATACACTGCTCCTCGGTGGCCATCAATACACTGCTCCTCGGTGGCCATCAATACACTGCTCCTCGGGTAGCCATCAATACACTGCCTCTCGGTGGCCATCAATACACTGCTCCTCGGGTGGCCATCAATACACTGCTCCTCGGGTGGCCATCAATACCTGCTCCTCGGGTGGCCATCAATACACTGCTCCTCGGGTGGCCATCAATACACTGCTCCTCGGGTGGCCATCAATACACTGCTCCTCGGTGGCATTATACATCACTACACGCTCTCTTCTTTACAGTTCAAGTTGTTATTTTTATTTCGTATTCGTAATTGTTGTAGGTGTAGAGGAAGTGACGTAACATTACAAGTTGTTGGTGAGTTTACAAGATGACGGCGCCTCTACACTATCGGTTCAGGCTGATTTTGTTTAAGGGAATTATTTTAATGTTAGTTTATGAACCCAGTGTAGCAACAGTGAAAAACGATTGAATTAATAAGTATCCCGTTGACCATGGCTGTATACATGATAAAAACAGACACTAAACAGCTTACTTAGAGCAACAACGGACCCACTGGACAGACAAACTGACACGTCACTGATGTATACATTAACAATTTCCAGGAACGAATTGAACAAAAGGAAGGTATACTGCCTTGCCATTGATTATTATTAACAAGATTTATTTTATTTAGGGGTGACAGCCTCCTTACCTAGGTACTGTACTGTGTGTCACCTCACTGACCTAACCCACCCAATTGTTGGGTATCATTCCTTTACGTTATGTGATTCTGCCTTTATGGGACATGTGTCTCATGTTTAACCAGGTCCATCTGTCTCCTCCAGGTCACTTAATACCTGTACCTTCACTCATATCACCACTCACCAGGTCCATCTGTCTGCTCCAGGTCACTTAATACCTGTACCTTCACTCATATCACCACTCACCAGGTCCACCTGTCTCCTCCAGGTCACTTAATACCTGTACCTTCACTCATATCACCACTAACCAGGTACCAGCCACTAACCAGGCCATTTCTGTCTCCTCCAGGTCACTTCTTGTACCTGGGTTTGCGAAAGAGTTCGACCAACACCAACAACACCCGTCAGATCAAGTCTCCGTGGTTGGAGGAGAGCAGCGACACCTGTAAGCTGGAAGCTGACTACAACGTGTGGAAGAAACATGACGTGACCAACGTTATCAAAGTCCTTATTGAGAATGGCAACTTTACCAGCATCACAACCATCGTCGATACTGTCAAGCTTAACAAAACCAGCCCAGAGTGAGTTAAGCTGTGTTTAGTACCTGAGTTAAGCTTTGTTTAGTACCTGAGTTAAGCTTTGTTTAGTACCTGAGTTAAGCTGTGTTTGGTTTAGTACCTGAGTTAAGCTGTGTTTGGTTTAGTACCTGAGTTAAGCTGTGTTTGGTTTAGGTGAGTTAAGCTGTGTTTGGCTTAGTACCTGAGTTAAGCTGTGTTTTGTTGTCAGATAGAACATAAATCATACTATGTTTGTTTATTTGTTTGATAGTACATGACTCAAGCCGTGTGTGTGTGTGTGTGTGTGTGTGTGTGTGTGTGTGTGTGTGTGTGTGTGTGTGTGTGTGTGTGTTTTATACATTTATTATAAGGTGGAGATATACAGGTGTGATATATTCATTGAAATCTGTAAGTTCGTATTTCATCTACCAGATGGGCGTGTGGACGTGGGTTAATTATTATAAAAGATGGAAATTGAGTCTTGGAAATAGATGGATTATCTGAGAGAGAAGTTCTGTCGTAATGTAACTGACTTAATTTCTATCAAGTAATATTTACCTGAAAATTTTGGCTCTTTTGGTGATGAGAAAATTGTTGCTGATCCTGAATCTTACTGTACCTGTAGCCAGTCTCTTCATCTGTACCCGTAGTTAGGTCCCTCCTTCCCTCCATATGGTCAGTAGCCTCGAACTACTTGGTTATACATCCTGAATCTTCCTCAGTAGGTGAACTTATGTGTCGTAGACAACGAGATTCATAAGGTCGCTTAGTCTCAGTTACGAGGGACACCAGGAAGTATTTATCTGCTTCACTTTAAACTACGACACACTGACGCCCTCTAGTGTTGGTTTGTATACAGTAGAGGTGTTGTTTTGATTACAGTCAGATGACAGATTTTATCGTGTGAACTTTGGAGGTTACGAGTGGCGCTGAGTTACGAGGTATTGTATACGTGAGTGCCAGTGGTCGTGTCCTGCCCAGCTAGAGGTCGTGTCAGGTCACTCACTATTTACGACCCGCCCTATGTGTTGAAGACGACCCACAAGGCCCTCTGCCAACACACTTGACATGTGTCACTCAAGATCACTAATGAGATTGATTTTGAGAAATGACAGTCTTTTATATTAGGGAGGCGAGTATGTCTGTTTGGTTTATTTTTTAATTTAATAACATAGATCGATAGTCAAACTTAATGTCAATTAGTTACATTATTGAGAGCGTGTAGGTCTATAGCAATTGTTTTTCTTCTAAATTAGACTAACACCTTCACGACGGGGACGCCACTTTTAATTTTATATTTAGCCAACACGCGATTATTTTAGTCAGCACGGAGGGAATACCGTCCACTAGGGGTTAATAAGGGAGGTAGTTAAGACGTGTGTGTAGGAGGCCGTGAAGGAGTGGTATATTGGGTAGGGGCGCCATCTGTCACCAACTTTATCAACTGAAGGAAGGCGAAGGTTTTATGATGTAGACAGACAGACACTTGTTGATGGGGTGATATTATGTCTGTCTGTCTGTCTGTCTGTCTGTCTGTCTTCTGTGTGTCTGTGTGTGTCTGTCTGTGTAAGGATAAACATATCACCGGTTCAAAAGATTGATATATAATAATGTGACCTTTTATCCCCGCCATGAATATGAAAGAAGCATTACGTCCGTCTGTCTGTCTGTCTGTACACCTGTAAAGTTCTCACGTACCCACAAGGAGGTGACACACACACACACTGCTCAACCCACACCTCCCCCACCTCCTCCCCACACCTCCCCACCCCTCCACCTCCTGCCCCCTCCCACACCCTCCCACCCCTCCCACACCCTCCTACACCCCTCCCCGCACCCCCTGCACCCTCCCACACCCTCCTCACCTCCCACACCTCCCACACCCCCTCCCCACACCCCCTCACCCTCCCCACCCTCTCCCCCCTCCCCACACCCTCCTGCACCCTCCCCACACCCTCCCCACACCCTCCCCACACCCTCCTGCACCCCTCCCCTCACCCTCCCACACCCCTCCCCACACCCCTCCCACACCCCCCTCCCCACACCCTCCCCCTCCCCACACCCTCCTGCACCCCCTCCCCACACCCTCCTGCACCCCTCCCCCACACCCCTCCTGCACCCCCTCCCACCCTCCTGCACCCCCTCCCCCACCCTCCTCACCCCTCCCCACCCTCCTCCCCCCCCTCCCTCCCTCTACCCCCTCCCCACCCTCCCTCACCCCTCCCCACACCCTCCCACCCCCTCCCCCACCCTCCCCACACCCTCCCCACACCCCCTCCCACACCCCTCCCCACACCCCTCCCACCTCCCCCCACACCTCCCACACCCCCCCTCCCACATACCCCCACCCCCTCCCCACACCCCACTCCCCACATACCCCACCCTCCCCACATACCACCCCCTATTTTAACATATCTCGGCTCCACCTAACAGTCCCCGGCTTGAGGTCATCATAGTTGAACAGTAAGAGAAACATACACGTATAGTACAGGACCTATTTATAAAAACTGTGTGTGTGTGTGTGTGTGTGTGTGTGTGTGTGTGTGTGTGTGTGTGTGTGTGTGTGTGTGTGTGTCTCATGCTTATTCACCATCGCACAGAACACACTAATGGAGTTCGTGTGTTTGATCCTTGAGAACCAAACCATATCTATACATAACACACTGAGTTAACAAAGGACCTGTATGTAGTTCAGGTTATATATGTGTATTAATGACTCAATGTTGTGTGGTATAGAATTTTTGTGTATTTTAAAAGTTACAAAATTCTTCTTGATTAAACAAATATCATAATTTCATTACTCCTGCCATAGATAAATCAAAACATACAAACATTACCTACAGATAACCAAAACATACAAACATTACTCTCATAGATAACTAAAATATACAAACATTCCTCACATAGATAACCAAATATACAAATACATTACCTTTTAATAGAGATAACCAACATACAAATATTACCTCAGCATAGATAACCAAACATACAAACATTACCTCACATAGATAACCAAACATACAAACATTACTCACATAGATAACCAAACATACAAACATTACCTCACATAGATAACTAAACATACAAACATTAATTCTCACATAGATAACCAAACATACAAACATTACCTCACATAGATAACTAAACATACAAACATTACTCTTATAGATAACTAAACAAACAAACATTACTCTTATATAGATAACTAAACATAAACATTACTCACATAAATAAATCAAATATACAAATATTGATTTCAAATATAAATAACTAAACATACAAATATTACTACTCATATAGACAACTAAACATATAAACATTACCTCGTTATAAATAACTAAACATACAAACATTACTCTCATATAAATAACTAAACATACAAACATTACTCCATATAAATAACCAAACATATAAACATTACTCTCACATGCAATAACTAAACATACAAACATTAATTTCACATAATAAATTCAAACATACAACATTACTCTTATATAAATAACCAAATATACAAACATTATCATAATAACTAAACATACAACATTACTCATATTAAATAACTAAACATACAAACATTAATTCTCACATAAATAACTAAACATACAAACATTACCTTATAAATAACTAAACATACAAATATTACTCTCATATAAATAACTAAACATATAAACATTATTTTTACATAAATAACCAAATATACAAACATTACATAAATAATCAAATATACAAACATTATCATATAAATAACTCAAATACACAAACATTACCCATATAGACAAATCAAACATACAACACATTACTCTCATATAATAAACAACATACAAACATTACCTTCATATAAATAACTAAACATACAAATATTATTTCATAAATAACCAAACATACAAAAATATTAATTTCTTGCCATAGATAACCAAACATACAAAATATTGATTACCTCATATAGATAACTCAAATATACAAACATTACCTCATATAGATAATTCAAACATATACAAACATTACTCATATATAAATAATTCAAACATACAAATATTATCTCCTCAATATAGATAACTACAACATACAACATTAATTTCACATAAATAATTCAACATACAAACATTATCTATATAGATAACCAAACATACAAACATTACCTCTACATAAATAACCAAACATACTAATATTACCTCATAAATAACTAAACATACAAACATTACCTCCACATAAATAACCAAACATACAAACATTACTCTCATAAATAACTCGCATATAAACATTAATTTCATAGATAACTAAACATACAAACATTATCTCCCTACATAAATAACTAAACATACTAATATCATTCTCACATAAATAACTAAACATACAAACATTACCTCACATAAATAACCAAACATACAAACATTACCTCACATAAATAACCAAACATACAAACATTACCTCACATAAATAACCAAACATACTAACATTACCTTACATAGATAACCAAACATACAAACATTACCTCACATATATAACCAAACATACAAACATTACCTCACATAAATAACCAAACATACAAACATTACCTCACATAAATAACCAAACATACAAACATTACCTCACATAAATAACCAAACATACAAACATTACCTCACATAGATAACCAAACATACAAACATTACCTTACATAAATAACCAAACATACAAACATTACCTCACATATATAACCAAACATACAAACATTACCTCACATAAATAACCAAACATACAAACATTACCTTACATAGATAACCAAACATACAAACATTACCTTACATAGATAACCAAACATACAAACATTACCTCACATAGATAACCAAACATACAAACATTACCTTACATAGATAACCAAACATACAAACATTACCTCACATAGATAACCAAACATACAAACATTACTTCACATAAATAACCAAACATACACACATTACCTCACATAGATAACCAAACATACAAACATTACTTCACATAAATAACCAAACATACAAACGTTACCTCACATAGATAAATTCAAACATAAACATTAGCCTCATAGATAACATAAACATTACTCACCTAGATAACCAAACATACAAACATTACCTCACATAGATAACCAAACATACAAACATTACCTCACATAGATAACCAAACAAACAAACATTACCTCACATAGATAACCAAACATACAAACATTACCTCACATAGATAACCAAACATACAAACATTACCTCACCTAGATAACCAAACATACGAACATTACCTCACGTAGATAACCAAACATACAAACATTACTTCACATAGATAACCAAACATACAAACATTACCTCACTAGCTCCAGTACATGTCAGTGTTGTCTAGGTAGAAGGTTCCTGCCTCCTGTTGTTATCTGACCTCTCCTACACGACTCGCGGCGCTGTGGTAGTCTGGAAGTGACAGCCAGGAGGAGGGTGGAGGA